ACAATTTTTAGCTTGACGAAATGGACGATCGGTCTGTTCTTCACTATGAACTCGGATTCTATGAAAAAAGTGGAGACAACTGTTTTCGCGGCACGTTAACCTTCGCATTGCGTTACGATTTCATCCATCGGGTGTTAATGTTGCACGTTCTCAGAGCAAATCACCTGCCCGTTGAGGTGATTTTATTAGAAGTACACTCTTTTTACAAAGTTAATGAATTATCTTTAGGAAAAAGGTAGAACTGTTGATCCATATGTGAAGATGTATCTGCTCCCAGAAAGGAGAAATCATTGTAAGACAAGAATCTGCAAGAAAACTATGGATCCAGATTTCAACGAGATGTTCTCGTTTGATGTTCCTTTCAATAGTTTGTCCGGAAGAATGCTACAGGTTTATAGCAAACTCTTTCTTTTGAAATGACAATTTTAGTTCAGTCTTTTCTTGCATACCCACTCAAATGTAATTTTAGAGAAGCTAGCTGATAATTAGCAGATAGCTATGAAATTGTGACCTAATTAAGTTGGACAGATTTTACTATTTCGAGTTTCACAATATCAATTTTCAGTTCACAGTCTACGACTTTGACAGATTCACTCGACATGGTTTAATAGGAAATGTAATTATGCGAGATTTGTTTGATAAAAGCGATTTGTATACATGGACAGAATATACTATGCAGATTGTCGGTAGCCAAGTAAGGATTTCTTCCCAAAATGCTTTGGATCAAAAGACGATCGGAAATTTTTTTAGGAGAAGAATGATTTTGGAGACTTGTTACTGTACCTCCTATATTCGCCAAACGAGCAGAAATTATTTGTTACTGTTGCCAAAGCATATAACCTCCGACCAATGGACATCACTGGCGCTTCTGGTAAGAAATCAACTTTTTTTGGGAGTATCATTGGAACATTGTTAATCTTCTAGATCCCTATGTGAAAGTGGAACAGGTATATCGAGGAAAGCGTGTGAAATTGCGTAAATCAACATGCAAGCGCGCAAATCTTAACCCAGTGTATCATGAAACGTTGGAGTATGATCTACCATTAAGTCAAGTGGCTGAGACAAACTTTTTGGTCCAGGTCATGGATTGGGATAGGTGAATATAGGCTTTACTTTATTGAAGTCTGCAATTGAAGAAAGGTCAAAGTCTACAAAACTTGCATTTGCAGAATTGGGAAGGATGATCTACTCGGATGCTGCGTGCTAGGCAAAGATAGTCCGACTGTGGAAGGACGTACTCAATGGGAAAACTGCTTCCTTTCGCTTGCTCATACTGATGTTAATGGTCATGTAAGTTTTCACCTTATTCGTCTACAATGTCTTAAACTTTGCGACAATCAAGCCATTCTTCATTACGAAATGCCACTATATTAGCCTCAATTACTTAAACCAGATTTATGGCTAGGTAGCATGAAAGATGTTGTATTATAAAAATTATGCATTATTTTTAGTAAATGTTTTTTAAGAATGTAAGCACTTAAAGGTAGT